CCTATTCCCTCCATCGTCTCCACAGTCACTCTCTATCCTTCCTATGGCAAATACTCGAGGTTTTCCACTAGCTCTTGACATTTGGCCCTGGTCATGATTGGTGTGGTAGGTGATGCCTCCCCTGAAAGGTCCTCCATAGTTGTTGTATGATTCATTGGGCTGATTCCTGAACTGATGTTCGGTTTGGGTTCTTCCTCCTCCGCCCCGGACGGATTGTTCGGAATGTGCTCTCTCCTTCCCGTCTTTCATAGGGCACTCTCTAGCAAAATGGCCTAGCTCATTGCAATAGTAGCAGACCCTGAGGGACTACCTACAAGCCCCTGAATGATCCCACCCACACTGGTTATAGGGACCCTTGTTGCTGAAATTCCTAGTAGGTCGGACCGAGCCGGTCTAACTCTGAGCACCCCTATAGCTAACAGTAGCACTCGTCCTCCTCCTGGTCTAACTGGACTGACGAGCTACTCTGGCATGTCGCTTGCCTTGCTCTTACTTCCCTCGTGTTGCATCCCTTCCTCATGAAAGGTTGCGTCTACCCTCTATATCCGAAGAGTCGCCTGATAAACCTCCTCCCGATTGTTCAACATCAGCATGCTCAACAGCTTCTTAAGGGCAGACTTCAAACTCACTAGATAGTGGACACGCTGGGTGGCACTTCTTGGAATTGGGATCCTCCATAAAGCAGTAACTTCCCGAACCGCGAAGTATACTCCGCAATGCCCTCCTTGCCTTCATCGCCCCATATCTGCTTGATCGATATGAACTCCCTCTGCTTGCCGAGATAGTAGGCCTCGGGCACAAAATGAGCATGGAATACCTACACCATCTCTGGCCAACTGATGGCTAGTGGGTCCTCGCGGCTCGCTGGTTGGGTACACCATCAATCATAAGCCAGCCCTTGCAGTAGGGATACCATCAGCAGTACCCTATCCTCATCATCCGCCCTCATTTCGGTCAGCGTGTGGGTAACCTTTGTCTTCCACTTCTCCACCTCACTAGCGTCCATCGAGCGGTCTCCATCAAAATCCACCACTCCTCGCCTCCGGAAAGCCACGTAATTTGGGGGTGGCCTAGCCGCCTCGGGATTAAAATGCGCATTACTTTCTCTGCAAGTAGTACCCTTATTAGAACCACATTTATTTGTCTTATCATGCTTGAGTATACTGGAAACTCTATAAACCACTTCAAATCGATTGGTCAACCATTTTTCTTGAAATCCCTTTTTTCTCTTTAAAAATTAACCCTTGAAAACTCAGATCGTCATTCCAGTATTTCTTGGAGACCAAGTAACAGAGGAAAACCAGGCTCTGATACCAAAATGAACCAACGCAATGTTTTTCGAAAACCAAAACCATAATTTAAACCAAAAACCGTTTACTCTGGAGCAACCCAAATCACATTTAAAAGGTCAAACCAAAAACCACCCAATGACAATATTCAGAAATACCAAAACAAAAGCCCTCAACACTTAGGCTTGGGAAAATCCCAATCCAAAATACTTAAACATAAACCTTGAGTTTCCCAGTATACTCATAAGACATGAAGTAAAGGTAATTACGATAAAAGGGGTCCTATCTCATTACCCCAAGCCTTCTGACAACTTTAAGCTTGCTGAAGCTGACCTCCTTGATTACCCTCCTCGTGCTGGTTACGCCCTCTTCCCCTTTACACACTTTGTGAATGAGAAGGGGTCAGTCTCGTCGTTACTTCCTAAGGTCTTGCCCTAAGCAATCTCCTTACTAAAACACGTTATTAGCATTTCCTTTCCCTAGATGAGAGTCTTTCCCGCTACCATCCTCAATACCTTATTCCAAAGTTAATTCATAGAAGTTCTCGAATTCTATCCTTAACTCATACGCAAACACTAGGGTCCACCGCGTTACGTCTCGCCGTCCGGTATCCCTTCCTTGTTATGCCAACTGCATTATGTCTCGTTGTCTAGTTGCATACCCAACTCGGCAATGGTCTGCGTTACGTCTCACCGTCCAGTACCATGTTCGATCAACTGTTGCGTTACGTATCGCCGTCCAGTAGTGATCCGACCATATATCGCATCCAGTGGTATCCCAACCGCCCGGGGTTCATCTCACATACAAACATACATAGCACAACGCGTGCCTGCACCTTAAGTAGGTGGTGGGATGCCTCACACACATAATCGTGCAAACCCATAAATTAACTAGCATAACTTGAAATAAAAGATATAAACTAAAAGACATCGACAGAATTTTACCCCCTTTACACTCACCTCGAATAGAGGATTCTCCGACCTTTAGCCCGAAGAATTCATTCCTCAACATACTATCTCAATACCCTCCAGAGCGTGCCTAGACCCCAAGGAATCGATTAGAACGAAAGCTCATTGAATCAACTTGTCCAAATCCTCCAAAAGATCCCTTCCTAAGACGTATCAAATATTAGAAATCGAAAGGAACGACGAGTTGGAGAGATTTTCGTCGGTATCTCGGCTTTTCGACAAACGTGGAATAATTCGGCGGTTTCTTCCTCCCTTTTCTTTCCTCCTCCTTCCTCTTTGCTCCTCTCCTCCCTTTCCTTCGAATTTTGCTCATTCAAAGAATTTGGTGGGTTTTTGGGAGATGAAAAAGGTGAGTGGAGAGAGAGCAGAAAATTCACATATTTTATAACAGGTTGAACAAGGGCACATGACACGGGCGTGTTCTCCCCGTGTTCTCTCCATCCGGCGTGCCTCGTTTAGATCATATGTCGACTTTTTAATAACTTTATCGACACGGTCTACTAATACGGGAATGTCCAGGCCGTGTTACGCTTCGTCTTTGATCTCATCTATTCATAACGACTCGTTCACTTACTCCTGCTCTTAAGACAAGCATTTAATTGGACACGGGCGTGTTCACTGATCGTTTTCAATCCTCTGCTGATTCATGGTCGTGTTTTGTCCCATGTTCTAGCTTGTTGCTCCTTCTTTAATGCTTTCTTAAACCCAACCGTCTTCCAAAACTTTCGGTTGAACGTTAATAAATCTAACCTGAACTCGGGGTTGATAGACCGTCAATTGCACATGTTTTTACCCCTATCCTTGCACCGTTTGAGATGTTAATTCTCGTGTTTTAGGCCGATTTCACGCTAGGTTGTGCTTGTTTGTGATATTTCAGGTCCTAGTACGTGAATGGAGGCTTGGGAGCGAGTTTGGGGACGATTGGACGAAGATCGGACGCGTGGCGAGGCGCTGAGGAAGCCACACGGGCATTCCTGGAACCCACACAGCCGTGCAAGTCACCCTTGTGGCCGTGTGGTTTGTGCCGAGAGCAAACACGGGCATGGTGGAATTTCCACACGGCCGTGTGACCCTGGCCGTGTGGGAAGCCTGAAGTTCGATTAATTGAGACGCAGCGTTTTGGAAGCCACACCGGGCATCTGGGTAAGCCACACGGCCCTGTGGCCTGCCCGTGTGAGTTGGGAAATTCTGGTTTTTATCCAATTTCGAGCCACAAGTGAGGGAATCGGATTTTCAGAGCAAAAACAGAGTTTTAGAGAGAGAAAGGACGAAGAACAAACCCTAGGAGCTATTTGGAGTGGATTTCTCACCATTGAAGCCAAGATTGCGTCCCCAGGAGTGAAGATTGACATCCCGGAGCATATTTTCCTCATCTTTATGAGTATGACTACTCTGATTTCTGTTTTCCTCTCTCTCTCTCTCTCTCTCTATGGAGTAGAACTTTCTCTCACTTGGGTATGAAGAACCCTAGTTCCATGTGTTAGGGATTTTGATTGTAATGACTTGGGATTGTTATACTGCTTGATTATAATCGAATGATGCATGATTCATTGAATTAATTGAAGTCTGATAAGCTTTTCTTGATTTCTGCTGCAACCTGAGATAGATAGAATCTGATTAGGTTGTTAGAGCTTCATTATTTGGTAGTAGTAGATTGGATATATGAGAGTTAGTCAATCTACTGCTTTGTACTGGAATCCAATTCCAGTAGTGGAGTTTTGTGTTCATAGCCTCAGCTTTCTATCCCGGTGAAGACTAGTCGTCTACCGGGTAGTTTGACTGAGAGGGCTTGGTCAGCTTAAGAGATTCCAAGCTACTGTCGGATCTTCCGCAGTTTAATCAATAGTAAATCAACCCAGGGTAATTACAATTGAAACCTAACTAAGGAGCTAGGGGGACTCATTCCCGAGTGACTCTTCCTTGACTTCAGAAAACCGAACCATTTCCTGCTTTCTTACTGCTTTTAGTTAAAACAACAATCACTCGACTTAGTTTGCTAGATAATAGATAATCACGGAGTAGGCAGTATATCTAGACCCCGGGTTGACATTAGAACTTGCTACTTTACTGCATTCCCGGACTGCGATTATACTTGGTCGCAGTTTGGTGTTGTGTTTTAGCGTGTCAGGGGTGTTACAAACCTTAACCCAATTAATCAAACACCTTCCTCATGTCGTAGTTGATCAATCCAACGAGTGCTTCATATTTAAAAATCGCTCAAATACTGGGATGGTGTCACCTTGATGCGAGCATGACATACGACATGTTCAAAAGAAATGAGGATGTTATATTTCACAGCTTCATCAAGTGATTATTTTGTTGCTTGATGTGCAACTTAAGTGTTTAATATTTACTAATAATCTCATTTCTAGCGTTCAATGAGTGAAGAACCTTATAATAATAAAAAAATCGCAGTAATTTTGTTTAATTTGATATTCAAATTAAAACAGAATGGCCGATAATGAAGTGCAGTTGTTAATTGTTTATTCTTTTTTATTAATGAAGAAGTCTCATTATTTCCTTATTGATTTGTTGGTTTAGTTGTATGTTTGCTCCACTATTAAAAAAATTTCAATTTAGATTGTCTGCGTTAGTAGTAACCTTTCTACATGAGACATGTAGTTTGTTGAAAATTAATCAGATTATACACAAAAACTTACATTTTACGCTACGGTTTTACGTTTTGCGTTTTTACTCATGATTCCGCTTCAGCGTAGAAATGCGCATTTGACTACATTGTCTATTACTTTTCCATACCATGTTGTAATGCTTGGCAGTACATAATGCTTGGAGGATTAACGTTGAGAGAAGGTTCCGATTGGGATTTGGTTTTGATAGGATCAGCCCTTGGAGGCAAGTTTTCCCTTCCACTTGGAAGATTCATGGCCTTAAGAGGAGCCTCTTCCAGTTCCTGCGATGGCTTTAGAAGATGTCGCTCGAGCTCGTTGGTTTTCATAGTAACCCCGTGCAAGACAGATTTTAGTGACCATTTGGTATCAGCCAGATCGCTCTTGATGCGTATAACCCTAATCGTCGATAACCCTAGCATGTGATTGTAGTGCTAGTGTTTTATGTGAGATTATTTCTGCCTCGGTCTTTTCTCTTTTTTACGCTTAGACTATGTTGTTAAAGCATATCATTCTTTGGCTCGGACCACCTTTTCCGACCTCAACAGTTGGAGGCTGGAGCTCCTGAATTATGCATTATAATTGCGTATGGAGCTCAACTATTGGAGGATGTGGCTCTCTGATGGGAATGTGGGATTGCACTTGCCGCTGGCTAAGCCTCTTTTTTCTGTGGAGGAAATTGCTCCTTCCACTTTTTGGGGTCGTAGCAACTTGGGCGTATAAGGTTAATGTCACATTGCTGATATATGATGACACTCAACCTTCCACCTCCCATTCAATGTGGAGAGCTGGTGCTCTGGTTGTGCCCCAAATAGAAGCATTGGGCTTGTTTTTCTGGGTTGTATCCATGATGACGACACGACCTTAGTTTTGTCTTAAAACGAGTCTATCACAATAAAATCCCACTAAGGCCCATGTATAAACCTTACATGGGTGCAATATAAGGTAAGTATTCTTAAATATCAACCTGGGTCGGCCCATGTACCCCTACTTCAATTGTTTGAAACATTATCTAGCGGAATATTGTTTGTTAAAATCTCTGCTATCTACTATTTAAAAGCAAGACTTGAAAGGTAAAAGGGTGGAAAACTCTTAGTGAGAAGCTTCACTTGGGAGTTGCTTCTCTCTAACTAACTACCATGAACCGTGGGATCGAATGACTCTGTGTGTAACAAGGCAATTGTGACCCGTAGGAGGTGCAGCAATGCTTAGAAACCATCCTCTCAATTTCTAGGCCAAGGAAAGCATTAGAGACTACAATTGTAGCCCTCTTGGCTCAAGAAAATGAGGGTTGACTTACCTTCTCCCTCAAACCAAGGTTTGGACGGCATAATCACAATTAACCTAGGTGTCTAATTCGAGTTTAGAGGTTTGCCCTTCATTCACCCAGTTAGGAGGCATGGAATGCCTAAGAAAACCCAACTCGATTTGAGCCTCTTAAGATAAGGGGGCTTCTCTCTAAGCTAGGTTAGAATAGCACAATAGATTTCCAAGCACACACAATGCACAATCACCATGAAAAATACCTCAATTCTTAAATTAAACACCGCCATCACACAATCATTCAATCCACACAATCAATTACATGGTAAAAGTAAGGGTTCTACAACACCCAAGTGAAAAGGGAAACTACCCCATGCTAGACAAAGAAGAACACAAAAGAAGAAGAAAGAAACCATCATTGTGATGCCTCCAACTCCCCTTGTGCTTGTAGAGATCCTCTCTTGAAGAGGAACTTCCAAAATCTTCACTTGGAGCAAACCATAGGGTAAATCTCCTTCTTGGTTCGTGCTTTCTCTCTCTAGAATTTCAAGAAGAAGAAGGTTTCTCTCATTTTGGGCTCTCCCTTCTTCCTTTCAGCTCTCAATTTATACATAGATCGCGCCCAAGTCATGGTCCTAGTTCATGGTCGTGAATATTAGGTCGGGATCGTGAACACAAATCAAAACACTCCGCTTCACTTATGGAGTTCACGGTCCATGGATCCCGTTCACGGTCTTACGATCATGAATTGCCTCGGCGTCAGTAACCTCTGAAACTCATCTGGACGCTCTGCGGTTCACAGTTTGTGGTTCTAGTTCACGGTCCTGGCGACCATGAACTCCAAGCTCTGACATCAAACTGCGGCTGGATCCTCCTCTTTGCCCGGACTTTGCGCCTTTTCTTCCAAATTTTGACTCCGGGGTTGGTTTCACCTGTTAGACTCTGAAACACATTGAAACACAAGAAACCTAGCGTAAAGCCACCCTTTTAGGAGCTCAAATGCCACAAAAGCCAAAGAGAAACGGGGATAAAAGGTGTACATTTAGGCCTGAATCACTCCCCCACACTTAGACGTTTGCTTGTCCCCAGGCAAACCATTTCACACAAGGTAATATCTCAACCTAACAAAAAAACTTGGGGATAAATCAAAGGGCACAAAGTGGCGAATCTCAATGGATATTGGCAATTAACACATGGATTGTTGCAAGCAATACCGGTATCCACCACAAACGACATTCAAGGTCACAAAAAACGGGAAAACAAAAAGTTCTTACCTTGTTCATGAATCAATGCAAGTCTCAACATGATCACCTATCAACCACAACTAACCATGCATAACATTCAAGTCCAAGGAACAAACTAATGGGCAACAAAGGTCCTCATCGGGGCATGATATGACGTGCAAAACAAGAATGAATCATTCACTCTCTTGAACAGTAGGGTCGGGGCCATTTGGTGCAAAGATTGTGCACAATCATTAACACTCAGCCCTATCGTTTCTTAACCATGACGGCAACCTCTAAATGCTAGAGTTCACGGGACGGTTGTCATCACTAGCTTGTCCAGAGGTCGTAGACATGGGTTCAAATGACTGGCAATTGTCTTGGACATGGGGAAAAGGCCTTTTTGGGTGGTGGCAAAAATAACATGTGGTCCTACATCTTCACCCTAAACCCGAAGGTTCTATGGTTTCGACTGACAACCTTCCCTACAAACAACGGCCACTAGCATTGGCCAAAAACCTTACTTCTCCCTTCCAAACTATCACCCATCATGAACTACACTCAAGCACGCTTTCTCAGTCCATTCTTGCTATCATTTCGAACATGGAAATGAAGGAGTTCAACAAAATTGTGGGGGTTTCAATGGCTTGAGTGCCAAGAAACCCCTCCTAGAGCATACACTTTGATCTTTGTGGCACTCTCTACTTTATTTACCCCATTTTATTACCTCTTTTTCGACTCTTTTTCTTTCTACTTTCCTTTTCTTTCTTTTTCTCTTTTCTTTTATTTTTGAAGGGGGTACTAGAGAGTAAAACACTTGCCACATTACATTTGAAAACCAATGCTCTCTTTTAAGAACTTACTCCAACACTACTCTTTTCTCTTTCATTCCTAGCAAGAACCGCAAAAATCCTCCTATGTAGAATCTCAATGGAACTCAAAAGCGAGAGCTCCAAGACACAAGGACAACTCACGTATAGAGACGAAGAAAGGATGGGGGGTTGTTCTACCAAACACCATTAACCTCACAAGCAAAAAGCTCCTAACATGAGAACGACCCCCAAAGTCACAAGCCTCAAAGGGATTGACTAGGGGATAAAACATTTTGGGACAATCAACATTTGGGCTTGGACTAATCCTATGCCTCCATCATACTCACTAGTGATAACTATGATGTTACTCGCGATGGTAAGAGGGATCTAAGCACACAAGAAGAAAACGATTGGCTCGAAACTCACATGGCTACCTAGTCACCCAATCATCTATTCCAATTAACAAAACACAATGCATGGCAATTGTAATCAACAAGTAATCGAGTCAAGACATCCATTATTTTTTGCACACGTGAGAATTAAACCTTTGCACTATCCTAATGCACCTCTCAGTCATCATCATAGGACACACTCGATCACATGAAACAATTCAAGGTCAATGCTAATAAAAACGAGATTCTCCCACAAACCGGCCACTTTGATCATGCAAACATTGCTTGGAGCCCTCAAAATTTTCAAATTTGGGCATACATCAAGGTTCCAAGCATCAATCACACTCACACAAGCATAAGAATAAACTACCCCCCACTTAAGTTCGACATTACCCTCAATGGCGTAAGATAGGGGTAGAACGAGTGTTACCGCTTTACTTGGTGAGTAAAAGTAGGAATTGGTCCCGGGGTAGGAGATTTAATCTTCAAGTAGAAGACAAAAAAACACATACATAAACACAATACGACTCGCTCAAGACGAGGTTATTACACATCACAATACGATAGTGGTAGTAGTTGTTCACACACACCAAATAAAAGAAAGAAAAATAAAAAATAAAAGAGTTTAGAGTTCCAAGTGGAGAAGTGGGGAGAAAGGAATTGGCTCTACCACATGTCTCACTCGTCGGCTACCTCATTACGGGTCAAAATTCTCGGTTCATCATTTGGAAGGTGGCCCTAGCGACGAGCTATTCGCTCTAGCATTCGGTGAGCCGGTCAAGCCGGGAGGTGATTCCTACTACGTGGGTCTCAAGGCGGTCCATCCTCCCCACGAGGTGCACCCTATAGGTGGAAGGACCGGCACGTGATGATGATGTTGCTGGTGGTGGTGGTGGTACAGGATGCTGGAGTGCAAGACGTCGGCGCCGATCAAGAGCTCTATCAGGTGTTTGCTCTAGGGTAGGGACCTCTGGATCGGGCTCCACTAAAGTCGGGTCAACTGCCGGTCTCATAGCTGCTGAGGGTCAATGTCCGTCGAGGTACTCAATCCCTCGCTCTCCTTGAAGCACCAGCTTCATGTTGTAGAGAGTCTCCATATGCATGGTGTCCGGCCAACTATGGAGCACCACGTCACGTCCACGACGAAATACCGGGTCAGTCTCGTGATGATTCCCCCCCCCCCCCACCCCCCATATGCATGGTGTCAACCCTATTCCTTCCCAGACACCGGGCTAAAGTGGTGGCAACCAACGATCCCAGATGGAGCGGCTCGACGGGATGCTTCATAGAATGGAGGGACATCCGCCCTCTGTTGGTGATCAGGTGGCCCGCTAGCAAACTGGGGACGACGAACCAGGTGAGCAGAGTTTGCAAAATCCTCCATGGGGTTCGCAGCTTCACCGCATTGGTGTGGCCAGCCTCGAACTCATCATGCCCGTGATCGGGGCGGCAGAGGGCCTGGAATGCGTCTTGATAGTGGAATTTGATAGTGTACTGCCGCTCTGCCATCGTCATGTATGTGGTGTGCAACCCCATGGCCTAGGCGAAGGCGCCATATGTTAGCACTCGTGGCTGACCTCCGAGCATGGACTCCACGTGGGGCCGACTCCTCTTGCTCATCGGGACAACGTGGGAGAAGGTGGAGTAGAACTCCACTTAGAGCTCATGGTAGATGAGCCCATCCATCGTCAGCAACTGGCGCCACTAGGGGTAACAAGAAACCCCCGACATC